ACTATACAATTTACCTTGCAAATCGCCATGTTATTTGCCGTAAATCCTAAATGGTGGTCCTATTAAAGTGTAAAGATGCTTATTAAAGCACAAAATGTCAGGTTCTTAATTTTGCAAAAAACCAACACACCAAATTTTGTGCTAAAGTAAGTGAATAAGTTATTTATTTCAACCAAATAAGTCATAATATGCGTTCGAACCGTTGAGAGATGGTGTGATGAGCATGACAATGTGTACAGGATAAAGATTTATACCCTCTCAACATTAAGAAATCAATACGACATCACCATGCTCATTTGACCTGCAAATGATGCAAAAATATCAATTATTCATCTCAATAACAGTATGCTAATAAAAGCAAAACTCGTAAGTGTATATAAAAAATTCAATAAAAATTAGTAGCAAATTTACTAGTTTTTCAATTCTTTGTTGATGTAGTCAATTTTGCCATATGGTCCAAAAATATATATATATATAATTCTGCCATACCAACCACAAAATCATAAAAAAGAAAAAAAAGAAAAAAGACTATAATTCAACAACACCAAAGCAACTGAAAAAAAAAAAATTCATAGTACACTTAAAAGGAATAGGCAAAAACAAAAGTAATGTTTGTAGGATTCTACAACAACAAAAGTAATGTTCATAGGATTCTACAACAACAAAAGTAATAATATTACGAGTTTATTATTTTGGAAAATTATTCCTAAACTAAAGAATTAATCCAAAGCACTAAAGTACTAATCCTACAAATTAGACTCTAAATTCTAAAATACTCTAGATGTCATCATTTATTATTCAGGGAATCATCTAAGCCTCCAATCCACTGAAACTACTTAGCTCAAATAAGTAACACAATTTCATAGAAAAAGAAAGTATCACATAGTTTAAGCAAGTTTAAAAAAAAATAGATAAATATCCTCCTTATGCAACAAACAAAAATAATTCTCTACTGTTAGTTTGAGCTCTAGAACCTATGTAGAAAAATAATTCTTATGTGATAAAATATTTAGCAAAGAAAAAACAGTTAACTGGGACATTTAGAACCTATGAAGAGAAAGTACTAGCATGAGTTCTTCATCCATAAAAAAACCCTTTCATACACAACGTGAACAACTATATTTAGAATAGTGGTCGATCCATCGGGAATGACAATCGTAACTTAATGTTATATTCACGTGGTGATATTCTATCTTTCCAAAAGTACTACCCAGTACATAGTCTGTCTGAGGGGCATATTTGACATACTCATAGTTAATCAGAATGGGAATTTGGTATTGAGGTAAAAATTGAATGATTTTACACATATAATCTTGCTACCACAATGGTAATCAACTCAATCATTTTAATCATTTGCCAAGTGCACCCAACAATGACCACAAACATGAGAGAGAAGGAAAGAGAGAGGGAGATTGTATAGCAACCAACTATATACTAAAGAAACTCATTTTTCAACTGATCACTATCTCAGATTTTAAAAATACAAACCATAGCTCCTTCGACCATAACAAAACCTCACCCTTCACCCATCATTGAAACAATCCAGCCTACACCACATGCTGACACCCATTGGTGATACCAGCATTCTAGCATTTAACACAAGAACTGAATGTAACTCCAATAAATTAACCAGCATTTAACTTAACCAATTATAAACACCACTTTTCTCATAAATTAATGACCCTTCACCCATAGAGAAGACAAAGTTGTTACCATTTTGGATCGCTGAAAAAGGTCCCTCGTAAATTTATGCTCCACCAAGAAAAATTGCCCTAACAAAGTGGAAAAACTGGGAAAAAAATTACAATCAAAATGGGGAAAATAGTTGGATTTTAACAAATAATTGAGAGGAAAGTGAATAGTAAGAATGCACCTCCAATATATGAGCTATCAGGGGGACCCATTATAGTCACTTGCCAATGAAACGTGTCTTTAGTCGCGACCTATTAGATTGCAAACAAACATTTGAAGCCTATCACATAATATATTTGATAGATGCAAGGTGATGTATGCATGCTTTTGCAAAAGGAATGCACTATTGTTCAATAAACAATTGTCAATCTATTGGTAAAAATGTTTCACAACAACAAATGACATAACAGGAAAAGCATGGATTAAAGTAACAGAAACAACTGCTATACACAAGCAAAATCAAACCTAAGTTTATCAATTTTAAAAAATTATTAAAACTTATGGCCATACGGAGGCTTTCTCATCAGATTTTCACAGCCGCCGATCAGTATTGGATGTTGTGTTTTTCTTCACTGCAATAACACGCAAAACATAAATATAAGATCCATGAAAAACTAGACCAGATCTGACACTCATGAAACTCGTAGACAAAAATTGAAAAACAAATAATGAGAATCTAACCACCTACAAGATCAAAATTTTAATCAATTAAAACCTTTCTACCCAAAAATACGACACAACCAAAAACAACATTACACCTAAAAAACAATTAAAACACAACACACAAAAGCTAGGAAATTGGTTTCCAAATAAAATCAGCTCAAGCAATTCTCATCCCCAACTTTGGTGACCTGAATGCACAGGTCTTACGAAAGGAAACTTATGTTTGGTAGCTAAGAAATTAGAGGATAGAGTACATCACCATAAGAAATTCCCTTTCATAACAGTAGCAATGCTATTGAGCAAAAAAAAAAAAACAGTTGGTGTGCACTTTTAAGCAAAACACATTAAACAACGATTCACCATCCAAAAGGCACGAAATTTCTCAGTTCAACCAACTAAATATATTGCTCTTTGCATTAAATCAAACCTAATTACAATGCTCGCATCAAATTAAACCTAACCTAACAAAATTCTTGTTGGAATCAAATTGAATTCACAAAACTCATGATACACAGTATCAAAATCAAAACTCATGCCAAATGCGTTTTTTGTGGATGCATTGTGTGTGTAAAGGAAAAAGAAAGGTGTGTTGTGTTCTAGTGTGTGTACACAGTAAGTGTATTGCGTGAAGTGTGTGTGTGTGTGTGTGTGTGTGTGAGAGAGAGAGAGAGAGAGAGAGAGAATTGAAAAACTGAACACAACCTTCCTTAATCACGAGATAGAAACAGATTTTTAGTGAATCTGCAATTATGGGTTTGAATATTTTTGCTCCTAGCCCTTAAATTCAATAAAATAAAATAAAATAAAAATTGTGGTTGTGCTTGGGCATTTTGAAAATCAATTTGGACTTGGACTGTGACCTTGCAACCTCTTGAATTGAGGATTGGGACCTTGCAAATTGAGGAGTGGAATTCACTATAAAGCCATTGTATTAGAAAAATTAGCAACCTCAATAACCAATTGAGCAGTACACTATTCCATTACATTTCGAATAAGATATAAGTAAACCACAATGGATTGTGTAAAGCCTTGAATTCTAAGATTGTTAAGTAGCCACAAACATTCCTATAAAAAAAAAAAATATTTGCACAATCCATTGTCCTATACAAAAATTTAACAGAAAAAGAAGTACAACTTGGTGTCAAGACCCACAACCTGGGATTGTTTCCATTCAATACTTGTAATAGCTAAATATATGCACTTAATATATGCATTCCATTCAAATTCATCCCTAGACACTTCTTATACCGAAAATATACCAAAATATAGGCATTGCTTAATCAGTTGCATGATTTATGGTTCAATTAAATAATTAGAACTTTAATAAATCACAGTATATCCACTGGTTGAGTGATTTCAAGTTTAATTGAATAATTGAAACCCTAATCTGGGGTAGGTAAGATGGGTTGGTGGCTGACGGTGGTGGCGTGGGGAAAGAGATATAGGAATGAGTGGCAGAGGAGATAGATACAGAGAGGGCGATAAAGGAGGAGAGAGAGCAAGAGAGGTATCTGATTGTGGCCAGTAGAAGTGGTGTCCATGTCGATGGCTCTTGGTGGACCACAAAGGAGGTCTCACTGGTGGTTGCCGTCTCACTGTCGATGCCCGAAGTCACGGATCTTGCTGAAGTCTCCAGATATGCCTGATGGTCCAAGAGAGAGAGGAAGTTTGGGCGGCTTTTAATAGTGGGGAATGAAGAGAGAGAGAGTGTGAGAAGCGCCGAATTTGATCTTTGTGTTGGTCGCCGGATCTACATGAAGAGAGAGAATCGCCTGAGATACGAGATTCGACATGTGTATGTGTGTGTGAGAGAGAGACGACTGAATTTTGGGGCAGAAACGTAGAGGAGGGAGAATCAGCTTTTAAGTGAGGAATTAAGAGAGAGAATGAAGAAGTGAGGAATGGTTTTGAGAGTATGTTGGTGACCGTTGAATGAGTTTATTTGGGCTTTTTAAATAGCTTGGTAAATTCTTCATTCGACAATTTCTTTGTTGTGTGATTGGGTTTCTATCAGAACTTTCCTTCATTCAGTTCTATCAGCGTGCGTGTGAGGAATTATAAAAATAAGATTAGCATGGCCAAAAATTGATGCAAGTTTTATAAATTGGCTGTCTGTGAGTATCCAATAGATTGATTAAATTTCAGCAAGAACCTTATGCAAACACTTACGGGGAAATAATGACTAGTTCTGGAGTAGTTTAGTTGGGACTCTTTGTGAACCCTTAATTTGGTTGATGCTGGTGTTGTTTCTTATACTATGATTCTTTTGCTTCTGTTGGTGGACTCCAGACTTGTATTCTGCGAGTTGGTTTGTTTTATCAGCTCAAGTAACTCTATGAATTTCAGGCTGATGATGCAGCAATGTTAAAGATAAAGTGTAGTGAATCTAATCTTGTTTTAGAATTTCTCTCCGAACCTCTCTTTAATCTAAGAATAACTCTGACTCTTCCAACTCCGTAGGATGCCCCACAGTAAATTTATCTTGCAGGTATATTCACTGTTTTTGAAAAACTTTCATGAGATAAGACACGTAAGATCAATGTTTTTTGGATCCTAATAAAAGCAAGTTATTGCATTTTGTTGTTCCCTCCCTGGTTACCTTGAATCATAGTAGCTCAAGTTGCTAGAAATGTATAATCCTTTTAATGAAAGCTTTCCCGTTTATTTTGCCCTTTGGTAAGCTACAGATTTTATGCTGCAGTTCATCAGAAATGGCTCAATGATCTAAGATAAACAAGCCCCTCTTTTAAAAGTTCTTGATGTCATAAGAAGCTTTGATTTGGTCACTGACATAATTTTTCTGATTTTGAACAGGGTCTTTATCTTCTGCTCGCACCCAACTGGACCTCCTAGAGCAGCTCACTTCCACTAGCTCATCTGTTGATGGTATGAGAATGATCGTCTCCATAAATAAATAAAAAAAAAGCTGTTTATATCTACTGATCAATAAAATACATTTTCTGGTAGTTTTTTTCCCAGGCTGCAAGGCAGGTAACCCCCACCCCATGCCCCTGCCGTGGGGGCTTCAACACCTGCCTCCGCATAGGGCAGATAATTCTAACACCAGTATACAATCAGCCCTTTCATTTTTTATATGCAGCTGAATATTACTAATTCAATGACCAGGCTATGAGAGTGATGGTAGCTCTATGAAACTTACAATCCGAGATCAGCTTGTGCAGTTGGTTGGGGACCAAGATGATGTTATCAGCATTCCATTGGGTAAAAATCTGAAGAATGTTAGTCCCAAGTTCTTAACTACCTCACAGAAAAGAAATATCAAAAGACAGACTTACCTGAATGAAGTGTCTCAGAGGAATGATACTGTCTTCTTTGCCACCATTGGAGCATCTGTAATTTTTCCACCGCTTATCATATTAGGAATAGCTATAGCAACTGGTTATGTACAGCTTTTTCCATGACATATTTTCATTATAATCATAATAGGGAAATTACAGTTTTTCTTCACTAATCTGAAAATCTTTTTGGGCTAACTACCATTGTCTCTATAATTTTATCATATAACCATAAATCATTAGCGAAATGTCAAGCATGTATTTTGCCTTTATGTATATTGTTAAAATAGATCCTCCATAGAAGAACCAAGCCAATTCCATTTTAGGGGATGCATCTCTTGACAAACTGAAAGCAATTTCTGAAATGGTTAATTTGGATTGGAGGAGTTAGCATGCATTATAGAATCTGTTCCTCATTACCCATGGACCATGGTGTTGAAGATGCTAGCTGACAGCAAGATCATTGGCTTTTATTTGCCTTGGAGTCGATTGGACTGATCAGTTCATTGAAATGAAGTTGGAATTGACTGGGCTCCTGCTATTTGCATCATATGAGGAGGGTCAAAATTGTTTTCTAGTTTCACGGTAAATCATTGGATTAATTGGCAAAATGATGGTAAGAAAATGAAAATGATGTTGTTTCTTCTCCCACATGAGATAGTCTATTTTCAAATAGCTAGAAAAGAGAGAAAAACCATTTCTTGCTATAATGACATGGGATACAGCGTAAAATGCTTCTATTGTCATGGAATTCCAGGAAAATAAGCGAGTAATGTTGTGAGGAGAAGTGGGCCAAGAAGTGTCATTTAGCAAGGACTGATCAAGCTTGAAAGCCACCCCGAATCGAACTTTAATGATTCAAATGGCTGCAGTCAGCCTGATGGTGTTCCACACCTTACATTTGATGCACCCAAAACCATGCTACAATGCGTTCCTACTATGTTTCTTTCTAAGTTTACCTTTTGCTTGATTGCCTCTATACCACAGTGCCTCTTACTAAACATATCGTCTGAAGCTTGATTAAGTAAACAACAATTATGAAAATGTATAACAAAAAGAGAACTTTCAAATTGTGTTGATAATAGTCAACATGCAGAATAAAGCTTAGCAAAAAGGAAAAAAAAAATTGTATCATAGATTGAAGTTTTTAATATTCATACTAATTGATAAAAACCTGGTTGCATCTAAAGAAGCTGGAGGGGGTGGGGGCAAATGTAAATCCTGTAGCGGAGCAATTTCAACTAGTCTTTGAAACTTGTACCTTTAGTGATCAACACAATAGGCTTCAGCTTTATCTAAGAAAACATTTTCTATGTCAATCACATGTAATACTGGCTCAGCTACTCTGCCTGAGAAGGCCAAAGAGGTAAAGTTGCAGTGGCTTCTAATGTTAAGTAGATGTCTGTCAGTTCATGACATCAAATAGAGTGTGCTATTTTTCTGTGGGTTATTATTATTATTATTATTTAATTTCATACATTCACCGTCGTTGTTTGGTGTATTTTCGAATTGCGGGTGTACAAAAGTCCGATTGAACTTAAGATCCAAACATGTATGATCTTACGTATTTGAACCGATGTGAGGTTCTTAATTGTGATTGTTCAGGCGATTGCAGTGATGTGTAAGGTTGTCTCTGAGCTCTTTTCTATATTTTGGAGATCAAGGATTTAAATAATTTTCAACTACTAACGAAATGGACTAGAATGTAGAAAAAAAACAACTGGAATGTAAAGCAACATGAAGACTAGAATTTGTGGGTGAAAAGACTGATGGACTTCTGATGTAGATTATATAGCAGCACAGTACTTGAATCGATGTCGGGGTGATTCAGACCGGTCAAACAGATTTACATTTTCAGATGCACTTCCGCATATATGGTTTTTTAAACACTCATGTACAGTTAGCAATGACATGACAAAATGAACTCATCACACCCCTAATAGGGGATACGATAACCTAGGGCGAATTTTGGACAAATTCCTTCATTTAGTGCCTGAAAAAGGCGTCTTTGCCATTTCTCATTAAATTTTGTAGTTGAATAACTTCACCGTCTAAAGTTAGAATTAATCGTCGTCAGTTCTTTCTTAATTCAGGTGATTAGTAGTTTTTAATCTATATTAATGGTCTAATTACGTAATTAATGATAATTATGTCACAATTGATTATTTTCTAATTAGTTTTAGGGATTTAGCACTATTTATACCATGGTAACCCTTAAGGCTAAGAGTTTTTGATTGATTAATACAATTGAGAAAGCCTCTCTTTTATTCTCAATTATTCTAGTATTCTTATGAATCAATAGATCAATTGAAGTCTTTAGAACCGGTATTCTTGTGACTCAACAACTCTAGAGTATGATTCTAATCCAGTATTTGTGCCCAAATTAATAGTTTAGTTTCACTACCTCATTTCGTTTATTATCCACCATTGTTCTGTCTGTTTACCTACATCAACTTCACATTCAACAAGAAAATCACCGGAATAATGGATTATAAGTTAAAGTAAATTTGTGGAGAAATAAACTAAGCAAAGGAAAGGTTGACTCTGTATAGAGTTGTCGTATTGCTCGAGGATTCATTTTTTGTAGCATTGCCTTTGGTATATTTATAGGAGATAACTTCTAACTGTCGAAGTCATATTTTTCAACCATGACTGTAATCATGGCCTCCTCTTTTGAGATATGCAGATGTGCACTAATCATTTTTAATTGGCGGTTCTTGATGTCACGTTTTCTTATTTTTCGGAATTTTTAGAGTTCGACTTACTTAATCGCCTTAGGACTCTCACCGACCCATTCGTGATTGTTAGATCAATTCCACATGTCACCTTTACATTTTATTATTTTGGGTGTAAACACATAACCCTTAACCCGAAAAGTATGATGTGATTTCTCTATATTGTAAGAAACAGGGGTTTTGCCACTACAAACCAAATTGGATATTTGGTGTGAAACTTGACATTAATGAACTTTCCTCTATAACAAAATCTTTTATATGATATCTTTATTTTATTTTTTAACTATTTAAAACATCTTACCATGCTGACCACTACTAAAATTTCGTTTTCTGATTGCTGGCTGGATTTGAAGTTTTTGTAATGTAGTGTTTGTAAGTCATACCAAATGATTTACCCGTTAATTTTGGTACCTCATGCTTAAAGATATTGCATAACATGAATATCAATCCTAGCATTTCTGGTAGTCTTACTGCCATTCTCAACATAGCAATTCCTTGCATTAAAAAACTTGGATCGACTGTATGTTTCCTTCCACCTGTATGGAGACCCCAGCAACATCATGTCGTAAGTTATACATATATATTCTCTCTAGTTCAAACCATGCCTCTTTTGCCTTCCTTTTCTTTGATTCAAAAAAATTACGTTTCTCCTTAGAGGATCTGTGGCTAGTCATGTTTGAAATAATTATGTATCTTGTTAATCATAGTATCAACCACAGAATTTTGCAATACAAAGACATTTATCTCCACAAACTTTGTTTCTACGAGATTTTCTAGAGAGAGAAGCTTTGACTTGTTAAGATTTTCTCCCAAGTTCCTGACTACATCACCTAAGCAAACCAATATTCTGCCAAAACCACCAGATCCATGTCCAATACACAGCCAACCTATGCTTCTCTATTCAAACATCAATCCTACCAAGTTACTGATGGAGCAGCAGCATAAAAAATAAGGAAGCCTGTAGTATTCTATGAAGGAGAGCCAACTTTTTATTTTACTAATGAGGAGGTTAATGAGTCTTGTCAATCTCTCCAATATGCTTTGGTTGACAAATGTTCATGTGGAAGGCCTTCTCTTGGAGTCATCAAGGAGGTCATTAGATCCAAATGGAATTTAGAAGGAGATTTTGAGTGGGATCGATTGACCAAAGGCACATTCTAATCCGTTTTCAGTTGCAAGAGGATTATGTCAAAACATGGCTAAAGGATGCAACTCTGATTGAAGATTATTTGTACAAAATTTTTAAATGGTTTTTAGGATTTGTGCTAGGGATTGAACCATCTACAGTGCCTACGTGGGTATCATTGCCTAGTTTACCATTGAATTTTTTAAAGAAGGCTTTCTTGGAATTATTGGTCAAGCCCATTGGCAAAGTACTGGCTTGCGATCAAGCCACTCTTTCACTAGCAAGGCTAGGAGTTACAAGGATTTGTGTTGAGGTAAATCTGTTAGCAAGCAATCTATCTAGAATTTGGATTGACATGGGGAAGAGGGTGCAAGATGGCAAAGGAAAGTCTATGAGAGAAACAAGAAATTCTGCAAGTCATGCAAGAAACAAGGCCATTGAGAAGATGATTGTAGAAAACGAAAGGATCTTTGCTGCATGATACAAAAGGTAAGAATCCAGCCTCTAAGGAAATTGTAGTAGGAAAAGCAAGGAATGAGGAGAATAACGGGAAACAAATCCAACAAAACGAGTAGTAGGAAAGGCAAGGAATGAGAAGAATAAGGGGAAACAAATCCAGCAAAATGAGGATTCAGGAAAATCAAATAAGGAAACTCCAGCTAATGTTGGTGAAAGGAAATTTCCCAATCAATCAAGGCCCACTCATTTGTCTCATCAACAAAAAGGAGTTTGGAAACAACAAATCAAAGGAGCTAATCCTGATGGACAATTAAAGGAAATAGGAAGTAATTTTGGAAAACCAAATAACACAGTTCTGGTTAACGAAGGTTCACTACATGAGGAAAATTTGGATAATTCAATCAAGATTACGGAGGAAGGGAATCATTCTGGGAAAGATAATTGCACATCTCATACTTCAGTCCAGTCATTGCAAGTCAATGATGATATGCAAGGATTGGATCCTCCAGTCATTGATGCTGCTCAAGTCAAGGATGAGAATGTAGAGGTTGACGGAGCTTCAATACTTCTGAACAAGGATCATCAAGCAATGATTGAGTTAGAGGAGGGGCAGCTAAATAAGCAATTTTCATTATAAATTGACTCCATATTTCTTATTGACCATCAATATGTCTATTAGAAGAGCAAAGAGGTTGCTTTGGATGATGAGAGAGGTCTGACATGTTCAAGAGAACCTCCTGATAAGGGTTTTCAAACAGATGATGAGCTCTCTACTACTCTGGCATGTATTGATGTTGATTCTCAAAGTTCAGATACTAGTGAAAATTATGTGGCAGCTATGCAGCCTAAGGACTTTGTTTATTCAGGTGTTGTAACCAGATCAAAAACTGGTAAGCTTCCTTGTCCCAAACCACGTAATTATTAATACAATTACTTGGAATGTGAGAGGAGCTAAAAATAAAGCTCCAAGGGTGAAGCTTAAAAAACTAATTAAGCTAAATGATGTCTGCTAGGTGTCTTTGCTGGAACCAAAGTTAATGCCATCAAAATTGAGAGGTCCATGTAAAAGTCTGGGGTTCAACTCATTCATGCATAATCCATTAGCAGAAAGGTACGTTTGGATTCTTTGGGATCACAGATTGAAGGTGTCTGTTATTGCTGCACATGAGCAAGCCTTGACAATAGAGGTTTAATTTATGGGGTCATTGCCTTTTCTTATTTCTTTCATTTATGCTAAGTGTGATTATATTCAGAGAATGCCTTTATGGTCACATTTGGCTGATCTGCAAATAACTCTTGCACCATGGATATTAGTAGGGGACTTCAATGCCATTGTCTCCTCATCAAAGAGAAAAGGGGGAGCAGCTTCTAGTCTAGCGATTATGAATGAGTTTATTACTTTTATACATTCACTTGGCCTCCAGGACTGTGGTTTTATAGGCACTACCTACACATGGTGCAATAATCACCAAAGTAGCTCTCGTATGTGGCAGAGGATTGATAGAGCACTGGTCAATGTTAAATGGGGAGACAGATTTGCTAAAACTGTTTTTGAGCATGCTGGGAAAGGCAATTCAGATCACTGTCCATTGGTTTGTAAGTTCTCAGAGGTAGCTGCACCAAGGAGGATATCCTACTTCAAATTTCAGGATATGTGGATTGAGCACCCAAGTATCTTGTATCTGGTAGAAAACCTATGGCTGAGTAATCGTTTCTCTAATCCTATTGAAAATATGTTCTTGAAGCTTAAGTATCTAAAATTCCATTCAAAGAGGTGGAACAAGGAGACTTTTGGGAATGTGTTTGAGATTATTAAAAGGAGAGAAATGCACCTATTACAAGCAGAGATTGAATTGGAAAGGAATGATTTTGAAGCTAACATATTAAGTGTCGAGGATGGAGGAGATTTTCTGGATGCAAAAAGCTAACATGAAATGGGAATAGATGGGGAAAGAAATACTAAGTTGTTTCATGCCATTGCCAAAGGTAAATTAGTCAGGAATAGAATCACAAGAATTAGGAATTCTGAAGGCCAATGGTTGGAGGAAGAGAGTCAAATAGCATGCTATGCTATAGATTTTTATTCTGCACTTTATCAATTAGAGGTTCATACTATAGAGGAGGATTTATTTGCAGCCATTCCAAATCTGGTGACTGAGGAGGATAATTTAATGCTTACTTCACCAGTTACATTGGAGGGGCTCAAAAGCATTATATTTTCTATGTTTGTGCACAGTGCTCCAAGATCAGATGGATTTTCAAGTAAGTTTTTCCGGTCTGCATGGGATATTATTAAGCTTGACATATTGGCTATTGCTAATTACTTGATTCAAGGAGGTGTGGTACCTAGATCAGTCAATGTTACATTTTTATCCCTTACTCCCAAAAAAGATAATCCCTCCTCTTTTTTCAGACTTTAGGCCAATTAGTTTGTGCAAATTTTTGTATAAAATATTTGCAAAATTATTGGCATCAAGATTGGGTGAACTATTGATTTCTTCAGAGCAACATGGGTTTGTAAAGGGTAGAAGCATGGAGGACAATATTGCTTTGGCACAATTCATAGTCAATGAGTTGGATAGAAAAATGGAGGCTGGGAATGCAATTTTGAACTTGGATATGATGAAAGCATTTGATAGGATGGAATGAGATTTTTTAAAGAAAACATTAAGCAGTGTTGGATTTTCAGAGGGTTTTGTGAATATTGTTTCCAACTGCCTTAATAACCAGCATATTTCTTTATTAATTAATGGGGTAAGACATGACTTTTTTCCATCATCTAGAGGATTAAGGCAAGGTGACCCCCTATTTCCCAGTCTATTTATTCTTGTACAAGAAGTTTTGAGCATAGGACTTAAGCTAAGTTTTGAACAAGGTTTGATATAGGGTTTTCACACTGGTGGGGGATCAATGCTACTTAGTCATCTGCTATTTGCATATGCCACACTCATTTTCCTTGAAGGAAGCAAGAAATCTATGACCAATCTTCTAAAGTTTGTGAGAAGTCTTTGGTCTGAAAGTAAACAAACAGAAGAGTCCTAAATAAATGCTCATTAGGGAAAAATCATGGATAGGGAAGTGAGCTTATGTGTCTTTAATCATAAGCCTCGACAAATGATTGACCACTACATTCTCCTCTTCTTTCTTGTCTTTCATAATGATGTGAAATTGTTGAAGGAGAATAATCCACCTAATCAACCTTTGCTTTGTGTACTGCTTAGTCATCAAATACTTCAAAGCATCGTGGTCAATATAAATAACAATAGGTGATCCTATTATGTATGACCTAAATTATTGAAGTGAAAAAAAGACTACTAGCAATTCCTTTTATGTGGTAGTGTAGTTCATCTGAGTGTCATTCAAGGTCTTACTAGCGTAGTAGATGACATAGGGTTTCTTGTCTTGCTGTTGGCCTAGCATCGCGCCAATTGCGTAATCAATCGCATTGCACATTAGTTCAAAAGGAAGTTCCCAATTGGGTGGTTACATGATTGGAGGTGAAATAAGCATATTCTTAAGGTCTTTGAAAAAAAAGCCTCACAATTAGTTGTGCACTCAAAAGGAACATCCTTGGCTAAAATATGACATTTTTTTTTTAAATTTATCATTTTTATAGGTTTTTTTTGGGAGAGGGGAGGGGGAGGAGGAGGGGGAGGGAAGAAGGGGGCTTCAACCCTTGACTTCAAAAAAGAAAAACTTTCACAAGATAAGGAGTACCATTGGACCAAAGACCCATTGGTACCATTGACCAAAATATGACATAAAGAGCGTGATAAGGCACTAAAACCCTTTATGAATCGCCTGTTAAACCCAGCATGACCATGAAATGACCAGACATCCTTAATAGTCTTGGGAGTAGAGAGGTTAGAAATCAATTCAACCTTAACCTTGTCCACCTCTATCCCCTTCGTTGACACAATATGACCCAGGACTATCCCCTAAGTCACCATAAAATGACACTTTTCCTAGTTAAGCACCAATCATTTATCTTCACCCCTCTGCAATACCAACTCCAAAATTTTCAAGTAACCCTCAAATGAATCACCAAACACATAGAAATCATACATAAAAATATCAACAATTTTCTCTACCAAGTCGTTGAAAATCCCCATCATACACCTCTAAAGTGTGCTTGGTGCATTGCAAAGGCCGAATGACATCTTTTTATAGGCAAACGTTCCAAAGGGACAAATGAAGGTTGTCTTGTCTTGCTCTTCAAGGGTTATCTCAATCCGGTTATAGTTCGAATACCCATCTAAAAAGTAGTAGAATGCATGCCCCACAACCCATTCCAATACTTGGTCAAGGAATGACAATGGAAAGTGGTCCTTTCTGATAAATGAATTTAGCTTTCTATAATCGATGGAAACCCTCCACTCAATTACTGTCCTTGTAGGAATCAACTTATTCTTCTCATTGGTAATCACGATGACTCCAGACTTCTTAGGAACTACCTGTGTAAGACTCACCCACTTGCTATCGGCATTAGGGAAAATGATTCCAACATCAAGCAACTTTAGAACTTCAGCTCAGACCACATCCTTCATTATGGGATTCAATCTCCATTGTGGTTGACAGAAAGGCTTCGCATCTTCTTCTAGGTAGATCTTATAGGTGGTGCACATTAGAGGACTAATCCCCTTTAAATCTGCTATAGTGAACCTAACAGCTCCCCTGTGAGTTTTCAACAACTATAGTAGCCTTGATTCTTGCTTAGATAGTAATGAAGAACTGATCACCACTAGAAAAATATCTTCACTCCCTACATAGGCATATTTCAGAGTAGATGGGAGTGTTTTCAAATCAGGTTTGGGTGGATAAACAGTAGATGGTACAGCATGTAACGCCCTAAAATCCACCTTGGATGGCATTACAATTTATAAACCATTCACATCATGAGAGCAACTAAATAAATCCATCATTTAAGAATATTTCATTCATCAAATATATCATTTACAATATCATCCCAAAAGAATAGGCAAACCATGACCACTACATCCCCAAAAGAATGTGATCGACTATTATAATTACATCCCAAAAGAATTAAATTTAACTTGCAGCGGAATTACAAAAGGATTGGCTTTAAACAATCTCAAAATAGATTCCCTAGTCTAGAACAAAAGAGAATATAACTCCAGACGTCAATCTCGGGATCCATGTTCCCTTCTATAGGAGCTTCCCAGTGCGCTTATTCATCTACTCCTAGTTCCTCCTCTAGCACATAATCTGAAAATATATTGTTTGTAGGGAGGTGAGCACGAAGCTCTGTAGCAACATTCTCCCAAACTCATACAAGGTTTAGAAAGCATGTAAAAACAAGTCGGTCTCATTTTACAAATATTATATATTAAATTTTGAAAGAAAACATGAACATTTCAATAGATCTCAAGTTTACACAATAGTAATAATTTAAATGAACAGTAAAGAAAATTTCCAAACAATAAACAATTTCTAACCATAAGCCATTTTCCACAAGTTCTTGTAGAGTCCACCTCCACAAGCTCTTGTAGGTTCCACACAATAATCGTGTTTTCATGTATGTTGGTTGTTTTCCATGAATCTACACCACGACTCTACCTCGTTCACCCAATCATAACCACACAAACAACTTTAGAAAGGGCATATACCGTCTCCCACGGCATTGACGAATCCTTCCCAGGAAAGGTATACCCACCCTCAACCTCGAACTTACGTGAACAATAGTGGTTGTTCTCACAAACAACAAACCACTACAAGTGTTAGGAAACCATCTCACCCCCACTAGGATAGACTAACCTCTAACACTTTATGGCAGTGCTCGAATGCAATTCAAGTCCATCACAACAACCATACAAGAGTATTATTCCAATCGTTTTCTCAAATCATGAGTAAATCAAAAATTTTCAAATTT